AATGAGCTAAGACTTACATGTAAGATGTCTAAATCTACGCCATATCCCTTACAAACCTTAACGATAATTCGCTGAAATACAAGTTAGCCTAATATGTCATTAAACAAACAAACGCTGGAGTTAATATTTGATATGCCGATTTTCGCTAATTTTAGACACATTCCAAAATATGCTCCCCATTTTTAACATTAATATATCCGTGAATTTTTAAGTTAAATACAACTGTAATATATCAAAATCTAAGTTAGTCCTTCCTCTATTTAATGCAAGTTATTTCTCTTTAAAAACTTTACTTGTTTAGAAGTTATTACGAATCAAACAGGAGTACTTTTTTTTGGGCCACCCGGTATATATATATATATATATATATATATATATATATATATATATATATATATATATATATATATATATATATATATATATATATATATATACATAGAAATGTTTGACACTGGTTTTATAAAAACGTTAAAAACTACGTTTATTTAAAAAGGTGTTAAGACGTTTCGACCAGTGACTTAGGTCTTCGTCAGTTAAAAAGTTGACTAGGTTAAAAACTGAACAATATGTAAAGGTTCAGGGTTAATTGGTAGATAAGTGTTGTATACACATCCGGTATCTCGACATGGTCGTTTCTTGGATTATGCTCCTTGAGGGAATACCAAACCTTTAAAACAAACGTTCGCGATAGTTCTTCGTCTTGTTGACAATGGTGGCATTGTTGAAGTCAATTCGATGGTCGTATTGTTCGGCATGCTTAGCGACTTTTAAATATTGGTCAAATTGCGAAACGGCTTGTTCGTGTTCTCTTATTCTAATTTTCAAGCTCTGTCTGTTTGACCGTAATATACAAAGTCATAATCGCGGCAACAGATTTGGTAAATGGCTCCACTTGTCTGCTCGGGTGGTAAATTGTCTTTGGATTTGGGGGATTGGTGGGAAAGGATACTGGTAGGTTTGTAGCACACTTTGATCTTTTCTCTCCTTAATACTCGGGGAATCTTTTCTGCAACGGCTTTGACATACGGTAAGACTACAAAACTGGGAACAACACAATCAGCGGGGTTTGCCCGGCCTGTTGTTGTTGTTGACGTCAGTGGTATGTAAATTAGCATTGGTGTTATCAGTATGACGGCATTTTCTCTTGATATTGTAAGTCTTTATAAACTTAAATCGGTAACCGTTGTCTCTCAAGACTTTGAATACATGTTTTCTTTCTCTGCGTTTTCCTTTATTGGACGAGGGAATTTTCTCAGCTCTGTCGAAGAGAGTATTTAGGACCGACAGTTTGTGTAGCATTGGATGGTGTGAGTCGTAGTGCAGGTATTTGCCTGTGTGAGTTGGTTTTCTGTATATATCCACTTCTACTTTGCCGTTAAAGTGGATAGGCACTGTATCCAGGAATGGGAGGCGTCGGTTTTCTTCCAGTTCGAGGGTGAATTGTAAATATGGGTTTATAGAATTGAGGTGGTTATGAAATTAGTTTACCTGGGTTTTCTTCAGACAGAAATGGCTATCGTCGACATATGTGAACCACCACCGCGGGGGATGTGGTGCTCTAGAAATTGCAGTGTCTTCCACATGTTCCATTAACTATGTCAGCAATTGTAGCGCTAATGGGTGATCCCATAGCACAATCTGAAATCTGTTGGTAATATTCATTCTTATATGTGAAGAAACTGTTCTGAAGATCTAACTCTAATAATTTTGTGAGGTTAGTAATCGATATGTCTGTTCTTTGTGGCAACGATATGTCTTGTTGTAACCTCTGTTTGATCACCTGTAAGGCTAGTTTGGTAGGGATAGATGTGAACAAGAATACAACATCGAATGATATCATGATTTCATCGTCTGCAATTTGTCGATGTCTAATTTGTTGAGAATCAGGCTACTCAGCAACATTAAGGAGACATCCTCAGAACACGATCCTGATAGATCTCAAATGCATAAACACCTTTAACTCCATCTCCATTCCACTGACGGCACACCAGCAAGATTCTACGGGCTGCTTAAAATCCACAAACCTGCCGTACCACTTCGCCCCATTACAAGTTGCGTTAATTTCCCAACATACAACCTCTCGAAACAATTGATCAAAATATTATCACCCCTCGTCAGGGGGAAATACACAGTCACGAACAGTTTTGGCTTTTCTCAACAAATTAGACATCGACAAGTTGCAGACGATGAAATCATGATATCATTCGATGTTGTATCCTTGCTCACATCGATCCCTACCAAACTAGCCTTACAGGTGATCAAACACAGGTTACAACAAGACATGTCGTTGACACAAAGAACAGACATGTCGATTACTAACATCACAAAATTATTAGAGCTCGTCCTTCAGAACAGTTTCTTCGCATGTAAGAATGAATATTACCAACAGATTTCAGGATGTGCTATGGGATCACCCATTAGCGCTACAATTGCTGACATAGTTATGGAACATGTGGAAGAAACTGCAATTTCTAGGGCACCACATCCCTCGCGGTGGTGGTTCACATATGTCGACGACAGCCATTCCTGTCTGAAGAAAACCCAGGTGAACTAATTTCATAACCACCTCAATTATATAAACCCATATTTACAAATCACCCTCGAACTGGAAGAAAACCGACGCCTCCCAATCCTGGATGCAGTGACTATACACTCTAACGGCAAAGTAGAAGTGAATAAATACAGAAAACCAACTCACACAGACTACGACACACATCATATACTACTACGACCTGCACTACGACTCACACCATCCAATGCTACACAAACTGTCGGTCCTAAATACTCTCCTCGACAGAGCTGAGAAAATTCCCTCGTCCAACAAAAGAAAACTCAGAGAAAGAAAACATGTATTGAGAGACAACGGTTACCCTTTAAGTTTATAAAGTCTTACGATACGAAGAGAAAACGCCGTCATACTGATAACACCAACGCTAATTTACATACCACTGATGTCAACAACAACAGGGCAAACCCCGCTGATTGTGTTGTTCCCAGTTTTGCAGTCTCACCGTATGTCAAAGGCGTTGCAGAAAAGATCTCCCGAGTATTAAGGGGGGAAAATATCAAAGTGTGCTATAAACCTACCAGTACCCTTTCCAACCAATTCCCCCAACCCAGAATAAGAGAACACGAACGAGCTGTTTCGCAATTTGACCAATATTTGAAAGTCGCCAAGCATGCCGAACAATACGACCATCGAATTGACTTCAGCAATGCTACCATTGTTAACAAGAAAAAGAACTAACGCGAACGTTTGTTTTTAGAGGCTTGGTGTTCCCTCAACGATCATAACGCAGGAAACGACCATGTCGAGATACCGGATGTGTATAAAACACTTATCTGCTAATTAACTCTGAACGTTTACATATTGTTAAGTTTTGAACCTAGTCAGCTTTTTAACTGACGAAGACCTAAGTCGCTGGCTCTACAGGATGAGCCATGCCGCTTACGCATTGCGCACGCTCACTGGTTGCAGTTTGAGCGCTCTGGCATGGTTTTGATGTCCCACAATCGTGAGGCATCAAAGGTAACTGTAAATAGCAGTTACATTCATCCTGCTCATCAGCACTACTCTGATGAGGCCCATAAGGCCGAAACGGGTACCGTCTGTAGTTAGATATCGCTCTATGGCCTTTTAGGTCATATTGAGCGCTCTACAGGATGAGCCATGCCGCTTACGCATTGCGCACGCTCACTGCTTGCAGTTTGAGCGCTCTGGCATGGTTTTGATGTCCCACAATCGTGAGGCATCAAAGGTAACTATAAATAAGAGTTACTTTCACCCTGCTCATCAGCACTACACTGATGAGGCCCATTAGGCCGAAACGGTACCGTCTATAGTTATATATATATATATATATACTGAAGACTATATTCCAAAAAGTAGTCGATGAGTTGACGTAAGGTAGAAGAGCGCTCAATACCATAATAAGTAGAGCGGAATTAATTCAGTCAAGGTTTGAATGTTTGCGTCGCTACTCTGAGTTTCACGCTTATATATACATATATATATATAGTTTCACGCTATATATATATATATATATATATATATATATATATATATATATATATATATATATATATATATATATATATATATAATATAATTTATATAATATAATTTAATGCCATATTGCCGGGTTGGAGTAGATATATTACTAAAATTTCTGTTTAGAGTAATTTAGGTATTCAAGATCACTTTTGGATTCATATCTCTTTATATATATCTCTCGTTTATTTCGCTTCTTGTAATTACAGGATTAAATTGTAAGCGATTTACAAGTTTATATTAACAAAAAAATATTTA